TAAATCCTTCTGTCCAAGCATGGGAAATATTTTTTTAACTAATTTGCTACCAAATGTGGCAACATGTGAGACTGCCCTTCAGTCTAATTCTCTGATTCTTCTACTCCTTAAAAAAAAACATTGCCAAATAGGTTGTCCCCAAATAATGTAAAGCCTTCAGGCATTTCCACATTTGAAGTCTTGCCTCTTTCTTGTGGGTACCTTAAAATATCCCAAGGACCTCAGCAATTTGATTACTAAAGCTTTGAAATTCAGCCATATTATTGGCCAAGTGTTTTTTTGGAGGCAAATAAGAAATTTTGGGTTTACACTCAAACATAAATTTTCTTACAACCAGTTTGTTTCCATTAACTTATTTTTGCTTCTTAAATTTGGCTTTTATATATACTTGCCCACTGAGCAGTAAATACTATAGAAGTAACCTCAGTAATTTGAATCGCACTATTTGTTTCACAGCTTGTTTGTGGGAACTGCACTTTAAATTTCACTAGGATGAGGCTCTGCTTTGAATATGAGAATTCATTGAAATGAAAAACGAGCACCTAGAATAGCAAACAGCCCCTGGGTCTAGACGAGAAATCCAGGTTCAAGCTGGATGCCAAATAGGATGCTATTGGCCAGGTTTGGATGAAGCTTTCTCACTGTTTCTCTTTAGTCCTGATCTACCCTGAAAAATTAAAGATTCAGTGGAAAGCCATTCCTTACACAGCCCTGTTAGTAATGGTCATACAAGCAGAATGGCAGATTCCAAATCTGATGGCCTGCTTTTATTTGTAAAAATTAACGAGTTCATCATGGATCTCCTGGTGGCAGTTATCCAAACACTATGTGGACTTTGAGGTCACATGATACATTACAAAATGCCTAGTGAGACATAACCATAAAGAAAATGGAATTCTTACTCTTTCTTGTAATAGTTCAACCAGTGAAAATTGGTTTCTTAACACGACAAAATTTTATACACACTATGGCCACCTCCATCCTTATATTAATATAAATTTGCCTCATAGGATATTATGACAGCTCTTTAGATCTGTCCTTTTCAGGGCAGGCTCTGTCACACTTTCACACAGCTTCATAGCAAGAGTGACATGTAAGGAATTTTCCCATCTTGAGCAAACCATATAAAATCCAAGGCAAAATCCAGCCACTCCACACATGTAAGTATACTACTACTATTTCATTGCAGTGCTAGACCCTGCTGGTAAAGACAGCAGAAACAGGCAGACTTTCAATGGAGTCACAGCACACAGTGACAGACATCAGTCATTCCAAAAGCCAGTTTCTTCTATAAAGTGACTGGTCCCCCTCAAAACCTAGATTCCTTACATGTTTAAATCCCAAGTGAGCACTTAGGATGTTACTTCTGCAAAACAAGGAAATCAACAGACAGCACAGAGAATGCCATAGCCAAATAATTTATCAAAACCATGGTAAGAATAAACTTTAAAGTAGACTATCAAATGGCTACAGATACCCCAGAAAAATCACCCATAATTTCTTTCTTTAATGACTGAATCCACTTAAAAATTTTACATTTCTTCTGTTATATCTGGTGACAGCACAGGCACGTTGAAGGGAAAGGGAAGTGAGTTGAAGCTTCTTTGTTTGGTTTAAGTGTAGTGCCATCAATATTTGCAGAAAAAGGGAAAAAATATAATCTAATTTTGCATACTGGCTGACCAGAATGATTGGCTCACTTTCAACTCAAACTTGTATGTCTCTGTTAGCTTCTTATAGTATACTATTATTAAGCATTCATTTTAAACTTTTATGGTATTCTGCTTAGCTAATGATGAGAAAAAAAGAAAGAGTGGATCATGTAAAACTCAGTTATTACTGTAATAGCAATTATTACTACTATTTGGACTGAGGGACAAGTATATGAAACACTCATCTATATAGCTATCCTGAATGTATACTGAGTGCATCGATACAGCAAGTTTAGCAAGCTCACTAACAGAACGTTCCCAAGCAAGACATGATGATAACATTTCATGTAACTCCTCTTTGGCAATACTTAGACACTGCAATTAAATACCAAACAGTATCACGTGTGCCAGTCATTTACTGCAAGAAAGAAAATGTGATGAACTGTTTGTTTTGAATTATTAGTATAAACATATTGCAGAAATGAAACCCAAGCTTAAACAATGGGGAAAGTTATCCGGTATTAAAATAAACAGTTCTAGGAAAATCTCTAAAAATGTTTACCAAGTCATCTTCTTCCGAGTAGTTTCTGCACAGAGCGTTTTGCCGTGTCCCTGGTGTGCCAACCAATCCCAGTTATGCTGACTATAGATATGCAAAAGTGAATGGACAAGGCTGGGACTTAACTGCCTGTAATTGGCTCCCAAAGCAAGCAGATTTTTATCTACAATCAAGCTTGTAGGTCATCAAAGAAGCACTTTTGATTTTAAGCATTAAAAATTTGTCTTTTAAAAAAAAGTACCTGTTTTGCTTCTAGAAATCAGCTAGTTTAGATATGAAAGAAAAACATTTTTAGATTAAAATACTACAGAGTTAAGCAAACCACGATTCTTACAAACTTTCTTAATTAATTCAATATTGCAAGCTGGCATTTGTGCTCAGAAAATAATTCACCCTGCCAAATATCACCTATGTGCAATTTTAATGAAAGTGATATATATCACCTGAAACAATAAATGTATTTCCTTTATGTAAGTCAGAATATCTCTCAATTTCTTAAACTTTACTTCTTATTATAACTATTCACTTCCAGTCATAGACATACGGTTAATTATTCTTTACTTTGTCACAGCAGGTGCATTGTAAAATGCTGTTTAGCGTAGCAGCAGTTATATCAGATATTAAAAATCTAAGGGGAAAAATGAATGCAGAGTATAAAAATGAGATGCAAGACATCTACATAATATATTCATTACACTTAAGCATTTTGCTTGTTTTGAAAGGAAATGAGTTATGGCTGAGATGCTTTGTATTGGCAACAACAACAAAGCAAATTCAGCATTCAAAGATGCTATAATGGAGCTGTATCAGCCTCATTTGTTCAGAGCGAGCCATACTCCATCACACAGAGAAATGGGTCCTTTCATTCTGGGGAAAACTGACACATGGGGATACGTGCACAATCCCAGTTTTCTGTAAACCCCTGGGAGCAGAAGGGTTGGGGGCTGGGAAGGAGAACAGGAGGGGGATGGTTCTGCCCATAGCCAGTTTTACAATCACTGCAGAAGAAAACAGTCCTCAAGTATAATCCCTTTTCATGGGCTTCCTACCTGTTTAATCACTTCCCTCCAAAGTGTGAAAGGACTAACCCTAACTTAAGACATTCACACTCCAGAGACTCATATTTCTTTACGTTCAGTCACAGTGAAATAGTGATCTTAGTTCAGTCTCTAGTGGACAAACACAGAATAAGTAGTCATATAAGCATGATTCAGCAGGCAATTTGCTCAAGTAAAATCATGTGTGCAGAAATACAGATAACAGCTTTCCTCTTTTTAGAGCTTGCCTCAGCCTCCCAAGGTACAGTAAAATAATTTCTTAAGAAATGCTTTCCCCTACAAAAGACATCCCCTCATTTCCAGCCGTATATTACCCAAAGCAGACCAAGATACTAGAAAGTAGTCTAAAAAAATAAATGCTTGGTTATATTTTGTTTTATAGTCACATGTTTAGTGGACAGAGTTTTTTCTCTCTTGCTAGAGCCAGATATGCAAAGAGCACAATTAATTTACCAAGAGATCAGCAAAACTTCTCTAAAGATTTTAGTAGGGTTAGGGGAGTAGGGACGGCTGTGTATGCTTTTTTAACATATTTCTGTCTTGTATGCTGTCTGGATGAAATAAAACTTGTAAATGAGATAGGTAACAGTAACTGCTAATACGAAGTTTTAGCCCACCTAGTATTCACTAGATTTTTATTGATGTTCATTCTTAGTATGAGCTTGTGTTAGAGTCAAATCATGTATCTCTCAAATGGGTACATACAGCAGTTTTCTTGTGCCATCTTACATGACTCGATGCATCAGTCTATTGCTCAATTTTCTAAGTTTTGCCAGGTCAAAATGCCAGTGTGAGAACGGGAATATTATAAATAACTATACACAAAGACAGTTTGCTATTTGTTTTTACTGGTCAGCTATCCCAAGGCGATTTCATTGCCAAGGCATAGACAAGATCCTGCAAGGTATGCAATTTTACACAAGTGAGTAATCTTGTTAAGGTGAATGGGGCTGCTCATATGAGTGAAATTATTCACATATTTTAGTCTTTTCAGGCCCAAACTTCAGCTCGTACATAAAATACTGAAAAGTTCATTAGAAGTTTGGAGCTATTGCACAAATTCTTAAAAATAATTACTTCTGCTAAGTTACTGCAACACCTTCAAACCCATTTTTCCCCTTCCTATGAAAGAATGCACATATACACGCACAAATTAAAACAGGCTGTTTCAAGTCCAGTGTAATCTACATAGTTAAAAAGCTCTACTGTGGTGTTTTAGGAGTGTGAATGCCTTTACACTTTCTTCTTTCTTTCCAGTAATTAGCTGGGTAGAATAGTATTACAGGATCTGTTTATGGAGGACCAATGACATTCTCAACCCAGTACCTTTAAATGCTGATTTTTTTAAATGCTCCCTTTTGCTGTCAGAGTAGCAGGTATCCTGCATGGCATCTGATCTGAAGCTGTGAACTGTAAGTAGAGTTTATAGGAATACTTAGTAACTTCTGTCATTAGAGTCTCTGGAGGATTTTTATGTTCTCTGACTCACAAACTTCCAGTCTCTTGAGATAAATCTTTAAGAAGCTGCATCTTTCAGTAACGTGAAGAAAATTCTGCTCCCAATGTCTCTAAGAAGGGTGCGCTCTGGCTGAAACATTTCTTCCCTACCCAGCCACAAACTAGATCAAACCTTATTACCTCAGTTCTCATAGAAGCTAATGAGAACTTTGAACAGCATAAGGATCACCAAAAAAATCCATTTAGTGAGGAATGAAAAAAAGAAACACTTACTTTTTGCAGCCACTGAGTGTAATTTTCCATCACATGTTCCAGATGTTGCAGTTTCTGGGAAGAGAAATCCTGTTCCACGTGAGGAGCATCTCTCTGAAGAGCATTTGTGCTGTACTGGTCTGTCGTGCTTTCACGACAGTTCCCGTCCTGTTCTGGCAGAATGAAAGTATAGGTGCACTGCCCATGCTGAATCCGGTTGAATCTTCTCCCACTGGCTTCTGGACCCCGACGCTGGTTACTACAGCCTATATGAGCGAGCATCGCTGCCAGGAAAGCAAAGGAAAGGAAAACTGACATGTTACTATTACTTTCCTTTCCTACTTTAAGAAAAACTTTTTCTTTCTCTTTCTTTAAATTTGTTCTTATTTTCCCTTAAAGTCTTTGGAAAAGGGACTGGAGAAGCGCACTTTAGTAATCAAGCTTGGATAAACTTATTTTTTTAATTTCACTATGAGGATAGCTTCCTTAGTTAAAAATGGGAATATTTATTGCATAGTAGTTAAGATTTATTGTTTCCTCTCTGTTAGAGTCCAGCATGTAGCCTGCTTTAGTCAGCTGCATATGCATATCCCAGTCTCTTTCCCCTACACTATCTGCTGCAGAACTGCTATTTTCTCTCAGACTTCAGTGAGTTTTATTAAGGTTGCACTTTCAAGCCAAGCTGGAAGCAAGCAGCCTTTCACAAGATGACTTGACAGGAATGCGTGTATGAGTGCGCCCCTATGCTGAGGATGGCTGATGGCTCGGTACAGAGGGATCATCTTACAAACTGGCTGGATGCATGACCTCAATCATGCATGGCTTTCCAGCCCCTATTGCATACAACCGCTAAGGGCTTTTGATGAATTCACAGAAGTTTAATAAGTAAGGCAGTCCACCTTAATACACTTCATATGTTCACACTGACCTATTAAAATGTAGATAAAGTGTAGAAGTTTGTTGTAATCCCTCTGTAAATATACAAAGCAGAGAAATTAAAAATACTTTCAGTTCTGCGCTGCTCAGTATCTATTAAAGAATTCTAAGTCAGGCGAATGACACTTATGGGAAAAAGTTATGTTTAACCCTCACGTGCTTTAGCTCCTTTTCTAAGACAATTGTGGTTCTTTATCAGAGTTTGCAGAGTTTTTTAGAGCATATAATAAAATTAAGGCTGCCAAACAGTAATGGAAAATGGCAGTTCAGAAGGATAATTTTCTATGTTTGGTGTCTAAACTAAGGTAACTAATTATAAAACAGTGAGGGATACTCGCTGAACTATTCCAGATTGTCTTCTGTACTACTGCCACTTTTACCACATGCAAAAACCACTTCTTCCAATGTGCAAGCCTGTATGGGTTATACAGGCACCCCTCATTATATGTAGAAAATTTCTCAGGGGCAACTTCCTCAGAAAAAGACTGTGATGATTACTATTTAAGAAACTATCTTACACTTAAATAGCGCCTTTTGTATCTGCTAGAGACAAATCAAAAATGCACAGATTAGAAACAGGATTTGAATATTCCTGAAATTCAGAGGAATTTGGAACTGAGTTCCTGCTCTAGTAACTGTTGTTACATGAATATCAGCCAACACCTTTGCAGACCACTTTGCATAGTTTTTCCCATGAAAGTAAGTAGTCTTCTAAATAGCAAGAGTGCATCACTTTGGACTCTATTTCTTCTTTTTCTGCCTCTGAAAACCAACTTCTTATAGCTTGTTTTCTTGCTTGCATATAACATTTCTCATAACTCTCTACCATCACCAGAACTAGTTCTGCTGCGGTTTATTACACTGCCTTTGCAATTATTGTGAAATGTAATTGCAAGATATTTGCTCATATAAGATCAGAGAGCTTCAGTCAGAAAGAAAACTGTAGAATCAGACACTGAAGGGTCAGCATAAAACCAGCTATTCCCTATGAGGCAAAAATACCAGAGCACAAACAGGGTAACAATACATGCTTTTTTAAAAGTAAAAAGACAGTTTTATGAAAGGGCCTCAGGGCAGCTAGAAGGGGGATAGCAAAGGTGGGTGTACAAAGGCTTCCTAGAATTTTAGTTCATATTTTTAAGTACTGTTGTTTACACAAATGCCGCATTCACTTTCTGCAGAGTATTTAAGCATCAGACATTTGCCAACATAGAAAAGTGAGATTATGAACTTACAATTGATGTTTTTCAGATTAGAAAGACTTCACAGAAGAGCAAGCTCACTTTGTTGCTATTGCATGGCCCCTTCCTAATGACTTGAGGTAACTTCTCCTTCCCCTTCTGTCCCCCTCTTCCTGAGGGGTAACAGCCGTAAGGACCTTTAAGAAGCGCACAGAGTTATCAGGCATCTTTGGCATTTGCTTATTTGTTTCAAGCTTAGTTCCCTGCCACAGCACCTGTCTCTCAAAGCAAGACCCCTGACCCCAGGTCCTAAACTGATGGATCATGGGCAGAACATAATGGTCAGGTGCCACGCTGGGGAGATGTGACAGAGCTACACAGCAGCCAGAGCATCTCCTACCAGCGCACTGCACTAAATGTTTCCTTACTAGAGAGAATCAAGTCCCCTCACTCACATGTTGCCCACATCTGTGTCATAGCAGTAGTGCATCTGAGACATTTTGTGTGTCCAAACACATGGGGGTCTCACACAGAGGCAAGGAAGGGATGGCAGGAGCCTGAGGGAAGCCCAGGAGCCATTCTGTCACTCCTAGTTTGCAGCCTTTCCAGCCCAAGGGAAGGCACAGAAAGGGAATCATGAATTGTGCTGTGATGCACTTAAATCTTCTCAAGGACTCACAGTGACTGCTGAAATGGCAGCAGCTCTGTTTGCTACACAGAAACTCAGCAAGCTTTGGGGCTGCACTGACAATCCCAATCCTGTAACACAGAGACCGCCAAGACCAGCTTGCTGTTTCCCCAAACACATGGTAAAGTCATTTTGATGGGACATTGAACCAGCCAGGCCAGTTTCTCCTCCCTGGCACACTCATGGTCCCAGGTGTACACAGGCAGGAGTACAACAACAAATACAGAAAAAAGCTTGTTTCCAGATTTACAGCCACTAAATTCCACAGTGCAATTTTCTAAGGAATTCCATTTTATCTAAGGAAAACAGCTTCAGAAATAAGAAGAGTTTTTATTTTCTAAAATGCCCTATTCCTATTAAGGTATTTGCTTTTTTCTTTCCAAAAACTAAGCAACCAACCAACCAACCAACCAACCAAAACATCTTGCCCCAAGTTTCAATGGATTGGTGTCTTCTACCCCATTTGATAAATGTACATTTTATCATCCCAGTGCTACATGATTTATGTGACCCATCCCAGCTTTTTAAGACCTGAAAACTTCAGTGAGGTAAGGAAAAAACTAGTTCTCAAAGTACAGTCAAAGTCACTGTGGATACTTCTGCCGGATCTTACATTATATACTACAGATATCATCTAAATGATTTGTTCAGGATTGCACGTAAAATCGATGGCTCAGCTAGAAACTGAGTAGGGGCACGGATGTGCTTAAAAGACTCTTTATTTTCCTAAGACCACTTCCTCAAACACAATGACTAGTTTCATATTCCCTGAACTCTTCCTTCTGTGTATCAGGGAAGGGATGGATCCACAGGCTTCCTTTCCAGACCATGCAAAGTCTCATACACACTGTTTATTTAGCAGCTATGCAAAATACTGTAGCTCACTGTGTAATCAATCCTACAAGGCAAAATAAATGGGAATTCAATGTCCAGATAAAGGTTACATTCACATGATATGAGTTCCCACATATCTAGCATTAATATAATTTAATGGCTTTTGTCACAGAATCATATGCATGCTCAGAGTTCAAGTAGAAATTCCAGGAAACCAAAATCTATTTCAATTTCTTTACATTTCTGCTGCAATATGTGTTACTGCTGCAGATAAGTTGCAATAAGGTTGCATCATGTCACACACTGTAACTTGAGTTACTCCAACTTCCTCAGTGTATAAGGGAAGTCACTGCAGAATGGCTCCTAAGTATAGGTATAAGAAGGCTGCTCTTATCTCTAGGAAAACCAATGCTATACAGTACAAAACAAAAAGTTTATTTTTAACGTAGCACATTCCAAATAACCTAATTCTAAATATATAAATTCAAATCAATAAAATGGGATCTGAAGTCCCATAACTCTGACTGGTTATGTGCTAACACTTCTCCAGTGACTTCAGTGGAAATGGTCCAAATTTACCATGGTGCTGAGACCAGAATAGGATGCAGGATATTTGCCTGACCCTCTGGAATCCTGGCAGTATTGAGAGCAGATAAAGGGGAAGACTGACTTACCATGCAATAACACTTTCTCCTACTACCTGTGTGCTTTCTTTCCTTGCTCTCCTGGGAACAAGCAAGTAGTCATCTCAGATAAATTACTCCTCAGGAATGAAGTCTGTATATTTACATGTGCATTTTTAAAGTATGATCCCACGTAGTGCTGCTTGCCAGATCCTTCCTTCAAAGGAATACAGCAATGGGTGCTGAGTCACGCTGCAGCCTAGCCCAGCTTTCCCAGCATTTGATTTCACACCTGGGAACAAGTAAACAGCTGGGAACATTAATAGAGTAACAAAAAGCAACAGATCTTAGAACATGGTGGTTTACCACAGAAACATCTGAGCTACAGGTTATGCCATACGACCTGTTTGAATTTTGTCTGACACAGAGGCTATGAGGCTTCTCTGGGAAAAAGCTTTATCAGACTCTTTCCAAACATGTCAGCAGCTGAGGTAGCTAGGTGTTTTCTGAAAACTTATTCTCATGCTGTTGGGAACGTGGGAAAATCAAGTTGTTCTTATATTCATAACAACATTTGCACTCACACATGTAGAGAAAAAGCATGCAGATTATTTCAGTTAAATTTGCTGTCATTGCCTGCAGAAGCAGGGAATGCCCCCAGCATCCTCTTATCTGTCTAGGGTAAGTTTTGTCCTTAACTTTCACACTATCAGGGTATTTGATGCATTTTCAAAGACCAACTTCCAATCCTATCAAATAGGAGTGATGCACAGTAACTGAACACGATGGGCATGACATTTCTGTTTGAAAATAATAAAAATAGATGACAACCTAAAATGACTGATGTGAGGACCAACAAAGGTGATCTTCCACTGTAAATCCTAGAAAAAAAACAAACAACTGCCTGGTTTTAAAAGAACAATATTTCATATGGCCATAAGCCTTTTAGCCCTATCATGTGAACGTGCCTTCTATTGCAAATGACATTGAAAGTGCAATTTTGTAGAAATGATTTATCAG